ACAATGAGCTTACATTGAAAGGAAGTTGATTTTGGTTATTAAATTAGAAGTCAAATGGTAAGAGCCATTCCACAATGGAATAGAGGGCTTTAGATAGTTGTAGGATAGTCGTAGGATCACTGGGATACTTGTAGGATCACTGAATGGTTGTCTGCCAGGAATGTGGGTCTTGGATTGCTGCATTAGATGGAAGATTGAACTAGATGATCTCAAGATTGCTTCCTATTCTTGTATTCCATGATTTTATGATTCTTAAGATCTCATAGAAACTTGTTAGGACAGATTTTATGGAGCAAAAATGGCGTGCGATCTGATATAGTACAACCTTTTGCTTATATACAGCTTCTTTATATAAATAAGTTAGCCCTGGTGTAATTAAAAATCACCAGCTGCATTGTTTATAGTACTGATGCTGACTTTTACTGAATGTAAGAATTATCTGCTGACCAAATTTGTAAGAGTTAGCTCTCTGCCATGGAAGTGGACAGATGAAAACCCACCACTGAAGTTGAGCGTTTGGCACCATTTTACAGTGGACGTTAATATCAATTTAGCTCTGGTTTTAAACACTTTCCAGCTGTTCTTGGATCCTTCCAAGATAAAAGTATGTGTGCTATTTTATAGTTTCACCTTCACGGCATTTTCCTACATTATGCATGAACCTTTCAGACAAGAAAAAGATCAGGAAATTTACATTGGTATCAAATATGTTCCAGTTAATGTAATAGTAAAAGATTTAATCCTCAGTTCAAACAAACATTGCTTTTGTGATTGATTCGTTGGTTAAAATTTTTCTGTTACTGAGACTCCTGACATTGCGTTATGCTATGAGCAAGATTAAGCAATCAGTTGTATGTAGTGAATTCCTACATGCGATGATGAACCTTTCATTCATAGCCAGTACACACAATAATTTCCTGCTGGTTCTCAAAACTATATGCTTGTGGGAATCGGTGCTCTTTTCACAACTCAGAAAAGTTTTCTAAGGGGTTGTTTGTAGCTTTCGCGGTTGCTATTGTAGTTACAGTTGTTGTAACAAACATTCTAAAAATGTAACTTTCTGGTAAAATGTGGCAATTTAAAGCAGAATAATAATTTTAAAAAACCCAAAATAATAAAAATATAGCAAGGTATTTGAAGGTTTGAGATTCGCCACTGACTCTTGGGATCGGTGTTAAATTGAGAAGGTACATCGAGGAGGTGGTAGTTAAATTCTTGTTCAAAAACCAAATTTAGATTGCTTGATTTTGGATAAACATCATTCAGGTTTAATGAACCCAGCCTTTTCGTGCTTGTCTTTGTATCACTTACGTAGCTTAAAAGTTTAGTCATAATTGAATTATTAGATAAGTATGATACAACTTTTGTTTTTAGTAATTGTTAATTTGTTTAATAGTTTCAGTAACTCAGTAAATTAGTTTCATGACCTTTAGATTTGTCTCACACACACACACACACACACACACACACACACACTGCTTTGTTATATTTCATATAAATTGACTTGAATTGTACTTCAGCTTTGGTCACGGCCTGTAATAAAAGTGTGTGTGTGTGTGTGTGTGTGTGTGTATAAAATTTGTAGACGACATATAAATATTTATGTATAGATATAACAAAGGACTCGTATGGAATATAGAAATACTTTCTGAACTCTGCCTGGTGTTGCTGTAACAAGGGTGGAAGTTTTACTTCTTCAGCTTCAGCTTTATTGGATTTTTTAGGCTGTCACAATCTTATGACTCTCAGTGGTTTATAGATATCTACAGTACAGACAGTCCCTAGGTTAAGAATGTCTGACCTACAGACAACTTGTACTTATGAAGGAACTGCCTATTATATTAAAAATGTGAGTTAAATACAATGGTTTGTAATAATGAACGCACACGCTACTTTGTGATGCTCATGAAAACATTGTGTGGCTTCAGTTCGTTGACTCGAGGAAGGAGAATGCCGCCATTTTAAGTTGGACCATGCTTCCGAAGCGTGAATCCAATGTGAGTGCTGGTGATGCCTCAAAGAAAAGGAAAATGATCACGAGTGAAAATAAAATGGAAATAATAAAGTAATCAGAGCAGCAGATGATAGCATTCGAGGAAGAGGGCTGGGACCTAAAAACTCCAGAACCGAACATTTTTTTGACGGAAGAGTTAGCTGAAGCCTTTCGTCTCATTGAAGTAGGGATGGCAAAGTTAGAGGAGCAAGATCCTAATGCAGAGAGGTTCACCATAGTTCACCGTACAGTTACTGAGGGCCTCAGCTGCTACAAGGCCATTTATGATGAGAAAAAGAAAAGTTCTGTACAAACCTCCCTTGAGGCCTACTTCAAGGTAAAGGTAAAATATATACTATATATTAAGACAAACCTTTGACTAATTGACCCTTAATAAGATGTACCTGTTCTAACTTACCTACAAATTCGACTTAAAGCAGGCTTAGGAACAGGTCTTCCACATAACCTGGGGACTGCCTGTATAATAATGTTTTATGTGTATTATTCTGTTATCATATATTATTATGCCAGGTCCCCAGAAGCACATCTTCCCTGTCACAGTTCTGCCTCTGGAATGAGGTTCCTCCCAAGATTCAGATGGCCCCCAATTTGCTGGTGTTTTGAAATGCCTTGAAAGAGCCGGCTCTTTGCCTAGGCCTTTTGCAAAGGTGGTTGAAGGCCTCTTTAGGTGATGGAGGGTTGTTTTTGCTCGTGTCCAGTTGCCATCTTTTATTCCTTGTTCTTGACTTATTGTTCTGTTCCTTTTCATATTGTTTACTTGTGAACCAGCCAGAGTCATTGGGAGTGAGCGGTATAGAAATTTGATATATCATCGTCGTTGTCATCACCATCATCGAATTAACACCAGAGCAATATTACAATTGCTATGATGCTATCCCATCTAGTTAAAAAGAGTCCTCCAGCAAAGCTGTGCTTTAACCAGCTTCCAGAAAGCCTGACCTCCCATGGAAAATTGTTCCTCAAAATAGGGGACATCTCCTCCTAGCCTTGGCCACCTCCTAATTTGAGGTGGGGGGAAAATTATTGCCAACAGCTCAGGGCCCAGAGCACTTCATTTTGATTTCAGTGAGTCATTTATTTGTGGTGGGATGCAAATAATAACGTTTGTATCAATTGTAGTTGCTGCATGAAGGCCTAGAGCATGTTGCAGGGTCCAGCTGGATGGAGATGAGGGCCTGAGGTACTTTTGCAGATTTCTGCTGGTCCAGATAGGGTCACAGTTGGTCACCAGTTGGAGCTGAATAAAGTCCCTCCTGATCCCAGCCTCCACCTGTCCACTCAGCAGTGGGACCCCAAGCCATGGAACTGACTCAGGGCAGTCTCACCCTTTCAAGAGACAAACAGCAGCTCTGTCTCGCTTGGGTTCAACTTCAGCCTGCTTCTTCCATCCAGACTCTAACAGCCTCCAGACACTGGGCAGGAGTTCAGACACATCTCCAAAGCAGCCCAGGGTAGGGGTGGGGGGTAATTGAGTATCATCAACATATTGATGATACTGCAAGCTGAACTGATGGATGACCTCTCCCAGCGGTTTTATGAAGCAGGTTTAATATCTAAAGGAAGCCAAGGGAAGAAGTGAAAAAAGGCAGCATATAGATGACATACAATTCAACTTTTACCTTCCAAGTAGTCCCAGGAAGGCCATGGAAACCCAGAATAGCATGGATGGGGTAAACAAGATGAGACTAAATCTAGAAATAATGGAAGCGCTATGGGTGCAGATGGTAGAGAATTTTCTGCTGGAGATGAAGATACAAGGTATATGTTGTATGAGCTGCTGTTCCCATGAGCATCAATTGTGCAACTTGACTTTTCCCCCCTGGCCTTGATGCTATTGTGAAAAAGTAGATGGTGTGGGTTACCAGAAGTGCCTACTATTACCTGAATGATTTTCTAACTATGGGCATATTGGGAGAGTTTGCTACTGTTACAATATAATTACAAGTTGATTAGATTAACATGCTATATAGAGAGCTGTAAGAATGATCTGAAATGTTTGTATGGTACTTTCAATGTCTAGACAGTAAAAAATATATAAAAGCAATACAGAGCAGCTGCATGGTTCGCAATGCATTTATAATTCAGATTTGACATTTGATTATATCTTTTTAAAGCCCCAAACGATCTGCACCAAGTCATTTGAAAATTGCCTACTGTTATGAACTTAAGAAAATCCTAAGATCAGCTATGAGTCCCTACACATCTATTGAAACTATTTATTAGATTACTTATTAAAAGAGAAAGAATCCGTTCTGTGCTGGGTAGAAGCGTAGATCCGGAGAGATCCTCGAGTTTCCTCAGACTGTTTTGAAATGAACGTTACAATGCCACCTGCTTTTAAATGAACCACTGTCCATCTGCATTTTCTTAACAATTATTTTTTGACAACTTTTGTTGTCATAAATATTGGTGATTTCTGTTTTAGTCCATTGTTCTTTGTCTATTAATGTTTCAAGTTTTAACTTGGAAACTGCCTTCAAAAGGCTTTGCCTGAAAGGGAGATGTAAAGTTATTTTAAGTAAAAATGCTGTAAATAAATTTATATATTGGGATACGCTGGTCCTAGAAGGAACAGTTAAAGCAAGAGGTTTAAGACCAACCAGTGCCTGTCAGTTCTCAGATTTCCCAAGTGAACATATGGTTAAGAATTGTTGAAACTGAGTTTGTGTGAAGATAAAAAATAAGTGTGCCAAGCCAATTTTTTACACTGCCCACTCCTGTAGCATTGGTGTCAAAGTTGCTATTATAACATTTATATTTTTCAGGGTGTGTTTGTTTCATTTAGGAATTACAAGGTACCCCTCTCGAATACATAAATCATTATTTGCATTATTTATATTTTTCTCACCATTGCTGAGGATATAAATAACTTGGTCTATGTTCAAAACCATCTGTAGATTCAAAATGTTAATATAATGCAATGTAACATAATGATATAATAAATATTATATATTTATATATATTAATATAATGCTTTTCCTTTCAGTTTGGCAACAACAATAACTATATGAATATGGCAGAAGCAAATAATGCATTTTTTGCGGCAAATGAGGTATGTATCATAATCCCCCCCACAAAACGCTTTATTCCTCTCCACTGTAATTCTGTTGTACACATTTATAATCTTTGCAGCCTTTCAATAGATGATGGGTGAAGTGCTAAATTCTCTGTGTGTTTTAAGGAGCACAAAATAAAGTCTTTAATGAGAGAGAAAATAGCCTGACACTTTTCCATTGCCAGTCAATTTAGTTGTCTGTAAGAGTGTTACTTACATAGCATGTCAATAAAAACAAATCCGTGTGTGTGTGTCTGTGTTTGTGTGTATGTGTACCCACACGCATATAAAGGCTACCAGAAGGAAGCAGATGTAAGGCACAGTAGGTATACATTTAAAAGCAAATACATTAGATGCTAATATACTAATTACAGTCATAGATACAAACACTTTATTTGTAATTTAGGTTCTTAATACTGTTATGAAAGCAAAGGGAACACAGCTTGTTTGCAGGATCATTTGTTCTCTGGGGAAAATAAGGAAGAGACTTTCCATGGAGAGTCATTGTGGCTTGGTTAAATGGGAGCATTCTGTCTGAATTGATAAAGTCTGGCTAGGTCACAGAAGCGATGGACTTGGCCAATATCTTGAAGGACGGAAAAGAGTTTGCCAACCCAACATTCCTATAGTTCTTTCACTCTCTTGGTCCTCTCCTTGACAGCCTTCTGAAGAACATCAGGGTAGTAATAGTGACACTGGTTCCAAATTGAGCTGTTTTCTTGGCCAACATGCATGTTTGTTCCAATTGGATGGAAATGGAAACCTTGGCATTACCTGATGAATTTGTCTGGCTCTTTCTCTCTCTCTCTCTCTCTCTCTCTTGCTGTCTCATTTGTATTAATGGAGGGAATGAACATTGCAGTGACCTCTAACTGGCATCTGAGTTGGACTTCGAGTGGACATTGTAAACAGAAATGTCTAAGATTAATAGAAATGTGGTCAGCAATCAACCTTTTTTGCCTCAGAGCCAGAAATTTTTTTTCTGTATCCTTTTCCCTTGTGCAGCAGGGAAAAAAAAAAAATATCTAAAACTATACAGAAGAAAAATTATTGGAGAAACATGGTAAATGTGGCTATATTCTATGCAGTATTTTTATGATCCCATTTCTAAAACAATGGCTTTCTCTCCCTCCCTCTCCTTCCCTCTTTCTTTCCTTCCAACAAGATTGCTTAGATAAGGGAAGATTGCTTGGCAGTGGCTTCAGTGTTAGTTGTGGTAATGAACACAACCCCCATCTGTAATGACAACATGATGTTTCATTCTGTAGAATTTCATTCCTCCATTTGAATCAAACATTGATGAAGGTTCTACTGCCAGCAGCTGTTCAGAGGCAATTTAATTCCAGCTGTGATAATTCACCGTGTCAGACATTGGCTGTTATATGTTGATACAACAGCTCTCCAAATTTGCATTTTTATCAAAAGGAACAAATGTTTTGAACATTTCAGTGCAGATGGCATTTAACCACACACACCGTTTTTGTTAAGGATTGGTGGATTCTCCCCCTTCCCCAAAGTAATCTAAGAGAGAAAGGCATGAAAAGTTAATAGCTCTTCTAATCATGATTGGTAACATAACCCCCTTAAAAACATTGTACTGTTCTGAACCTAACAGTACCTTTCTCCAGAATCAAATTGCACAACGTGTGCGCCCTTCTCACAATATGGATAGGCCAAGGGATTCAGAATAAGATTATTTCAACATGAGACTTTATCCTCATTTAGATTACATACATCTTATCCTCATATCTATACATTACTTTCAGTAATCATAGCATGAGATACAGTTTGAATTCCTCTTTCTTTTTTTAGGGAACACCCATTGGCATACATCAAGAAAAAGTGACAAATATGATCATTTTGGGAGGACATGGTGCAAAATAAAATAGTTGTGTTTCTAGACATATAGTTAACACAATTATTGGAGTTTGTTTTTCTTTTTCTTTTACATGGAATACTCCCCTTTGCAAAGTGAATTCCATTGCCATGTCTGACTTAAAATATTTATACTGTTGGCTTAATTACACTGAAGGAGTACAGAACAATTGAGTATTAATATATATTTTCTGCTGTGGAGTATAGCTTTGTACTGTAAGCTATAGTAAATTCAGCTACCAAGTCCTTACTATTAGATACATTTTCACTGTGGACCTGCCAAATCTTAAAGCCTGTATTGCATCTTTTAATCTAACGCCTGCCAGTTTGCTTGCGCCTTTAGCATTTAAAGACTACCTAGGCTGAGACATTGATGTGGGGTTTTTGCTTTTGCTAAAACCTGTTCCTGTGTCATAAAAGCTGTCACCCAGTTTTGTTTTCTTTCTTTTTTTTTTTAAACCCAAACCCATCCTGAAGCACCTTAAATATTTATTGAAATAATATTTCAAATGATAATTATGGTGGTAATGAAGACAGCTAAATGCCACATATCAGGAATGAGTGTTTATCCATATTGTTAATGTGATATGTTAGATTTCATTAAGCAGTAATGGGATAGTAAATGAGTCACAAATTATCATTGCATCTGTTACTAGGCAGCATTAGTGCCAAACCTAACTGTAAAATGTAGCCATAGGATTATGTTCATTAGCCAAATGCCTTCTATCGCCAATCTATCCTTTTGTGTTGGTGAACTTCAAGTCTGTTCAGCATGAAAATCCCCCCCTTTTAATATTGAAACCAGAATAAATATCTCCCTGATGCGAAGCAGAGCTTTCAGGACTGAGATTAAGTTGCAATATTTGTACCCATGTGTTACGTGTGTGTGTGTGTGTGTTGTGAGTCTGCTTGATTCTCTGAAGACAGTTTTATTTCTGCAAAAGGCTGTCTGCTGCTTCCTTTTCTGATGCGAGAGCAGTAAGGACAGCTGACAGTGTTTATATGCAAGTAAAGGAGTCCCTTTTCCCTTCCTTGTGTTTCAGTTTCCATTTTCTCTCAAGCAGTTATTAATTTATATCATCATTAACAGTTTGAAGGATGACAATTTCTAGCCCCTTAATGAGAAATTTCACCGAACATATCATTTTTAAATTAACTGGCATTAAGTCATTCTTTCGGACAATGTAAATAATGCATGAAGCGGAATTGCTGCCTCCCTTTGCAGCAAAATTGTATGCTGATAGAAGCAAAATAAACCCGACATAATATATCAGGTAAAGTCTCATAATTCAAGCTCAACTCCAGGTAGCTAGATGGAGATGCCTGTGAATTTTCTGGACAGCAATACTGAAGTCATTTGCCATGGAATTCTTGGTGATGCCATCTGTTGTGACCATATACTATGGCATTTCCCCAAAACAACACATTACTTGGAATTGTTAATATCATTATTAAGCTTTGAGTTTCCTCGGCAACAATTGCTTGAACTCTTCAGTGGTTTGTATTGCAGCTTGTGTGGGTTCACTGCGGTACTGGGTTGGAAAACCATTGGAGGGGGCGTGTTGTTCAGAAGTCACAAAAATCATTTCAGTGGTTATTTACTGAGCAGTAATAATAATAGACCACAGAATAGTTGTGGAGAAGCAATATTACAATATTCACCCTAGCTATGGCCACATAATGGAAGTATTGATGGGTTCATAATCAAGACACCTTATTGGCCACCGTTGGCTCAAGGCTGTACTTTGGGCTGAGAAGTGAACCTTTAGATTGGGTTTCTGCTTGCTACTATAAAAGTTAACACCTGTGTTTATTAATTTATTAATCAAATGTATAGGTCACTCAGCTCATAATGACTCTGGGCGGTGTACTGGATGAAAGCAATCAGCAGAAACAGAAGAAGGCACTAACCCAGAGATTCATATGCCATTACATTAATAACATTTCCATGGGGACACACTTCCTAGCTGAGTGCCTGGGGGAAAAAATCAGGTCTTCAAGGATAGCAGGGTTGGGGCACCTCAGACCTCTAGGGGATACTATTCCAGAGGGCAGGAGCTGTGACAGAGAAGGTACATCTCCTGGATCCCATCAGATGACATCACATCAAAGATTGAACCTGGAACATGCCCATTCTGTGGCATCTTGTTAGATGAACAGGAACAATGGAACAATGATGCTTTTGCATTGGTCAGAAGCCCCCCCCCCCTTCCCAAAAGGTTCCATGGATATTTAACAAAGTATTAGAAACGCAGCTCCTTTCTCCCTTCTAACATATTGCTGGCATATCCCCAGGAGTGTGAATTCAAGAATAGGTTTATGAGTCTATATTAGACTGGTACAAGACCTATGAAATGTTTTGCTTCTCCT